TATAATAAAGGTAGTACCAACTGTTGGATTCAAGGGAATATCACCTGCGAGATTAAAAGGAATATGACCAGTTAGACCAAAAGTAATATCTCCTGCTATAATAAAGGTATGTTGGATTCAAGGGAATATCACCTGCGAGATTAAAAGGAATATGACCAGTTAGACCAAAAGAAATATCTCCTGCTATAATAAAGGTAGTACCAACTGTTGGGTTCAAATGAAATATCACCTGCGAGATAAAAAGGAATATGACCAGTTAGACCATAGGAAACATCTCCTGCTATAACAAAGGGAATGCCAACTGTTAGATGCAAGGGAATATCACCTGCTTAAATAAAGGTAGTACCAACTGTTGGATTCAAGGGAATATCACCTGCGAGATTAAAAGGAATATGACCAGTTAGACCAAAGGAAATATCTCCTGCTAAAACAAAGGGAATGCCAACTGTTGGATTCAAGGGAATATCACCTGCTATAATAAAGGTAGTACCAACTGTTGGATTCAAGGGAATATCACCTGCGAGATTAAAAGGAATATGACCAGTTAGACCAAAGGAAATATCTCCTGCTATAATAAAGGTAGTACCAACTGTTGGATTCAAGGGAATATCACCTGCGAGATTAAAAGGAATATGACCAGTTAGACCAAAAGAAATATCTCCTGCTATAATAAAGGTAGTACTAACTGTTGGATTCAAGGGAATATCACCTGCGAGATTAAAAGGAATATAACCAGTTAGACAAAAAGAAATATCACCTGCTTAAATAAAGGTAGTACTAACTGTTGGATTCAAGGGAATATCACCTGCGAGATTAAAAGGAATATGACCAGTTAGACCAAAAGAAATATCACCTGCTATAATAAAGGTAGCACCAACTGTTGGGTTCAAGGGAATATCACCTGCGAGATTAAAAGGAATATGACCAGTTAGACCAAAAGAAATATCACCTACTATAATAAAGGTAGCACCAACTGTTGGATTCAAGGGAATATCACCTGCGAGATTAAAAGGAATATGACCAGTTAGACCAAAAGAAATATCACCTGCTATAATAAAGGTAGCACCAACTGTTGGATTCGAGGGAATATCACCTGCGAGATTAAAAGGAATATGACCAGTTAGACCAAAAGAAATATCACCTGCTATAATAGAGTTAGCACCAACTGTTGGGTTCAAGGGAATATCACCTGCGAGATTAAAAGGAATATGACCAGTTAGACCAAAAGAAATATCACCTGCTATAATAAAGGTAGTACCAACTGTTGGGTTCAAGGGAATATCACCTGCGAGATTAAAAGGAATATGACCAGTTAGACCAAAAGAAATATCACCTGCTATAATAAAGTTAGCACCAACTGTTGGATTCAAGGGAATATCACCTGCGAGATTAAAAGGAATATGACCAGTTAGACCAAAAGTAATATCTCCTGCTATAATAAAGGTATGTTGGATTCAAGGGAATATCACCTGCGAGATTAAAAGGAATATGACCAGTTAGACCAAAAGAAATATCTCCTGCTATAATAAAGGTAGTACCAACTGTTGGGTTCAAATGAAATATCACCTGCGAGATAAAAAGGAATATGACCAGTTAGACCATAGGAAACATCTCCTGCTATAACAAAGGGAATGCCAACTGTTAGATGCAAGGGAATATCACCTGCTTAAATAAAGGTAGTACCAACTGTTGGATTCAAGGGAATATCACCTGCGAGATTAAAAGGAATATGACCAGTTAGACCAAAGGAAATATCTCCTGCTAAAACAAAGGGAATGCCAACTGTTGGATTCAAGGGAATATCACCTGCTATAATAAAGGTAGTACCAACTGTTGGATTCAAGGGAATATCACCTGCGAGATTAAAAGGAATATGACCAGTTAGACCAAAGGAAATATCTCCTGCTATAATAAAGGTAGTACCAACTGTTGGATTCAAGGGAATATCACCTGCGAGATTAAAAGGAATATGACCAGTTAGACCAAAAGAAATATCTCCTGCTATAATAAAGGTAGTACTAACTGTTGGATTCAAGGGAATATCACCTGCGAGATTAAAAGGAATATAACCAGTTAGACCAAAAGAAATATCACCTGCTTAAATAAAGGTAGTACTAACTGTTGGATTCAAGGGAATATCACCTGCGAGATTAAAAGGAATATGACCAGTTAGACCAAAAGAAATATCACCTGCTATAATAAAGGTAGCACCAACTGTTGGGTTCAAGGGAATATCACCTGCGAGATTAAAAGGAATATGACCAGTTAGACCAAAAGAAATATCACCTACTATAATAAAGGTAGCACCAACTGTTGGATTCAAGGGAATATCACCTGCGAGATTAAAAGGAATATGACCAGTTAGACCAAAAAGAAATATCACCTGCTATAATAAAGTTAGCACCAACTGTTGGATTCGAGGGAATATCACCTGCGAGATTAAAAGGAATATGACCAGTTAGACCAAAAGAAATATCACCTGCTATAATAGAGTTAGCACCAACTGTTGGGTTCAAGGGAATATCACCTGCGAGATTAAAAGGAATATGACCAGTTAGACCAAAAGAAATATCACCTGCTATAATAAAGGTAGCACCAACTGTTGGGTTCAAGGGAATATCACCTGCGAGATTAAAAGGAATATGACCAGTTAGACCAAAAGAAATATCACCTGCTATAATAAAGTTAGCACCAACTGTTGGGTTCGAGGGAATATCACCTGCGAGATTAAAAGGAATATGACCAGTTAGACCAAAAGAAATATTTCCTGCTATAATAAAGGTAGTACCAACTGTTGGATTCAAGGGAATATCACCTGCGAGATTAAAAGGAATATGACCAGTTAGACCAAAAGTAATATCTCCTGCTATAATAAAGGTATGTTGGATTCAAGGGAATATCACCTGCGAGATTAAAAGGAATATGACCAGTTAGACCAAAAGAAATATCTCCTGCTAAAATAAAGGTAGTACCAACTGTTGGGTTCAAATGAAATATCACCTGCGAGATAAAAAGGAATATGACCAGTTAGACCATAGGAAACATCTCCTGCTATAACAAAGGGAATGCCAACTGTTAGATGCAAGGGAATATCACCTGCTTAAATAAAGGTAGTACCAACTGTTGGATTCAAGGGAATATCACCTGCGAGATTAAAAGGAATATGACCAGTTAGACCAAAAGAAATATCACCTGCTATAATAAAGGTAGCACCAACTGTTGGGTTCAAGGGAATATCACCTGCGAGATTAAAAGGAATATGACCAGTTAGACCAAAAGAAAATATCACCTGCTTAAATAAAGGTAGTACCAACTGTTGGATTCAAGGGAATATCACCTGCGAGATTAAAAGGAATATGACCAGTTAGACCAAAAGAAATATCTCCTGCTATAATAAAGGTAGTACCAACTGTTGGGTTCAAGGGAATATCACCTGCGAGATTAAAAGGAATATGACCAGTTAGACCAAAAGAAATATCTCCTGCTAGAATAAAGGCAGTACCAACTGTTTGATTCAAGGGAATATCACATACTAAAATAAAGGTAGTACCTTACGTAATATTGCATTAAACCTATCAAATATACATGACTAAAGGTCAGAATTATTGCGTTTTGATGTAACGGTACAACATCAGATAAATAGCGTCGTAGGTGGTGGTGGTGGAATTGGGTTTAACGTCGTGCTTGTGAATATTTCGCTCATATGACGACGTGCATGCGTGTGTATGTGTATGTGCGGCTGCTTGTTCTAGCCCAGACTGAAGCTGGTTTTATAGTGCTAGCCCACTGAGATACCATGCCGCAGTGAAGCATGAATACCCCACTCAGACACATTATACTGACTCCGAGCTGACCAGTCCTTGTTGTACAAATTAATGCCGAGCGCCAGGCAGGGACCAACAAGTACCATATTTTAACGTCTTTTGGTATGACGCGGTCGGGGATCGAAGCCGCGACCTTCCGCTCTCCGGGCGGACGCTCTAACCACTACACCACGGAGGCGGTCAGCGTCGTAGGTACTACAGACAATGACAAAAAGGTCACACCGTCAATCCAGATTAACAGGGACCGGAGTATCCAGGTTCCACAATAGATTAAACAATGTAATATCTTATTCGTTCATGATTGATTAATAGGCTGTATTGTCTTTGAAGACATAATTTCAGTTACTTCTTTTGAATATAATACATGGTTAAGTATATTGAAAAACTCAAAATTTTAGCCTATGAGTTGAAGAATATACTGCCGTTACCTACACATTTGACGTCAGGAATTAACATAACAGGTGTCCGGGTAGTGTAGGGTAATAGGGGTGGGATACCCAGGTAGAAGATTCCCGCCTTAGTGCTCCACAGGCAAAACGTGCACTGTTCACTGTTCTGAAAACTCTTATACGTCTCAAAGCTATTCGATATATATTATGTATCTAGATATTTGATGCTTAAGTTTTGAGTAGTACTTTTCACTGGTATGAAGTTTGGGGTATTATATTCATACGGAAAGACCGGTGAAGATCCCTGTTAGAATTCTCTTCAGCAACAGATGCTTGTCGTAAGTGGCGACTAACGGGATCGGGTGGTCAGGCTCACTGATTTGCTCAACACATGTCATCGTATCCCAATTGTGCAGATCGACTCTTATGATGTTGATCACTTGATTATCTGGTCTTTACTTGATTATTTACAGACCCTTACTACATAGCTGGAATATTGCTGATTGCGGCGTTAAACAACAGAGAACCCCCAAAATCTCAAAGAGTCAATTGTACTATTTCGAGTTTATTATGTGCATGTACGAATGAGACACTGACATATATGCTAATGTTACTACTGGCGGTAACTGTCAAAAACACATGCACAGGCTAGTCAACTGTTCCCCTTAAGAATAACACAGTGTAGGTCCAAGCAGGGAATTGCATCTCCTATCATATTTGTGTCTTATACTTCACATCTGGAAATGTCCTGAACATGTATTCTAGAAAGCTATACAGAGGCAGTAACAACGATATGTGACATCATATTTATTTCATCAACAACATATATGTACATAGATAATGACAGTAGCGGAACCTTCAGTATAGAACAAACACCATTCTTCTTCTTTAGATCTGAAACAAAAGAAGATAATTGGTTCACTATATATTTGATTGGCCGCTGAGAACTGTGAATGTTTTAAAACTCCCGTCATTGTTTATTGCATCTTGCCATTTTTTGTAATCCTTACTCAAGCTCAGTAAAGGTGCACCAATTAACATTAGAAAGTCCCGAGATGAAACAAATCAAAGCTGCAGATCTTATACCAAATTATATTATATTCTGAACATAAATGACATTAATTGGGTGAGCCCTTTGATGCCTCACTGCCAGCATTAAGATATCAAACTTTCTCCTTATTTCAAGTATTTCTGTGTGCTAAAGATATTTCTAATCAGACTTTCTCCTTATTTCAATATTTCTATATGTTTTACGAAAAATCGAGAAAATAATTGATATAACGAGGAAACAACACTCATGGTTACAATGCCCAGTCAAATCAATGTCCGAGTGTATATCAGACATGTTGTGAACAAATACATTTTGAATTTTACTTATATACGGTTCCCATTTCGCATACCAAAATTACGCGTTTTGAAACACTGGCAAAAAAGGATTCATGTCCTGGGTGCCGTTGTACAAAGCGATCTTAGCGCTAAGGTGACCGTAACTCCCATACCTTAACATAGACTTAAGGTAGTCTTAGCGCTAAGGTTGTTTTGTACAACGGCAGCCTGTAGGATAACCCCCCAGAAATATCACACTGTTCACAATTGAAAACAGAGGCTATATGCAATAGCTGAAAACTGGGACATGTATTCGATCAACCGTTAATGGTGGCTGCTACAAGCTGTATGTAGGGCAGCACCCTGACACCTGGGGTCATCTCTGATTTTCAGTGGTTCATTCATACGATTATCAGAGCTAGTTTGCCCTTTCCATCAAATGGGATGTATTTCTGAGGGTAGTCCAGACAGGGTCTTCTAATGCACTGACGTTCCATATTCACGCCACAAAATGAGAGACAAATAGATGAAGCGCTTTGAGCATATCCCTGTGACGTGGAAAGGCGCTATATAAATGGCCTATTATTATTATTATTATTATTATTATTATTAAATATCAGACAACTCACAATGCAGCAGAATAAAGCTCCAGGACAACCAGCGGGTATTCTATTTGCTATAGCGCAGACCGCCCTACAGTTCAAGCCACCGGCCATACATGGCGCTGAAACACATAATGAATCATTTAGTGAACTGGAATTAAAGGCACAATGTCACACATTTTCGACAAGATTTGGGCCTCTATATCGTTGTTGACTCTTGTAACTGATACAATTTTCCTGAAGAAACATGTTGGAGAAAAAGGCATTCTGTTTTTATTTATCTGTCTGATATTTATGACTGAACACCTGTACTCCTGTAACAGCTATTGTAACAGCTTCCAAACATATATTGGGGCATATTTATCTTCCTTTTGATGCAATAAAGGACTTATTATCCCTTACGACTTGCCTGAAATCGTTTTTGAAATCGTAATTGAAACTTCGAGGCGAACAGCTTCCAAACAGAGAACACATGCCATGATATTGTAAACGAAATATGTAACTGCTTTTGGAATAAATTATATGGTAGCTTCACTGATGGCTGGTGGTATGGCTGATAGCGAAATGCATTATTTATGTTTAGAGAAGTGTGGTGTGATATAGTGCCTTTAACAATGTTGAATAAAAGGAACGTAGTGACTCTGTCCATTGAACATATAATGAATGATTAAGTGAGTCACTTTTCAGGCTTTTGGTAGGATTAAAATGACGTAAGGACTTATAACCTCAAAACCCGGAGATTCTGATGTATTTCGAATAGAGTGCCACTCAGAAAGTGGTCAATTGTAACATATGTTATTTTTATCATTACACTTTCTCAGTAGAATGCAGATTCTAATACTTCGGTGGGCGGAGTCAGATCCGCGATTGGAACCCTCACGAGTCAGGCACCTAATCGCCAGTACACAAAGTCAGCGATCTAACCCACTCACCCATCGCGTTTCCACGAATGTCTGTCCCTAGTATGGTGATCTACCTTCAGGGATCTATAGCCCAATTTTACATTGTATTGTCCAGAAATAATTTTCTACTTTTAAAGATATATGCTAGCTAGTATTAACTCAATCTGTGATAATCTAGTGGTTTTGCTGTCCTTCGTTGACAAGGTTTTATATATCATATGTATGCATTATAAATTTAGAACAAGTTTTAGTCACGATATGGCTGAAATATTGCCGATGTGACTTTAAATCTTAACTCACTCACTCACTCACTCCACGAATGTCTTACAACAGGAAGTCCCGATCACGTATTTTGTGTACCTATCTGACAAATGAAGGGATACTGGATCTGGTTCGCTGTATGTGTCACCAAGAATATGGTACTTACATAATCTCACAAAGTCTACCTTTTGGCACCCATGTAGGGAGTCGAACCCGTTCCAGAATTTGTCAGGACCGTATTGCAGCGTTTAACAACAACAAGAAACACGTGGAGGTTATTCGGACTTACATTGAGTAGTCGTAGTTATAGTCGTAGTAGCTACAGTTGTCAATGGAGTCTATAAGTAAAGAAACGTTGTTATTCTTCAAAGACACATTTTATATGTTAGGGTTACAACTGGGACATCACCAATGGGGCTTCACACATTGAAGAGAAATTTGGTATAAAACAACATCATGTTTCCAAATCTGTTATGATGTAGTTTCATACCACTTTTATTCAGAGTATACTATCTGTTTCTTCACAGTGCTGGTTCGAGTCTCTTTCAGTCAAAACCAAATCAAAACTGAACAAAATTGTAAATACAGCTAGTAAAATAGCCGGGGTCACTTTTGACAATCTTTCACTTCTCTGTGAGCGGCAAGTACTTTCAACGTCTGAAAAAAATCATTAATGACACAACACATTTGTAAACTCTAGAGTATAAGCTTTTACCATCTGGCCGCCGCTACACAGTGCCAAGCACCAAGACTAAACGAGCTCGAACGTCGTTTGTACCTCAAAGTATTGCAATTTTAAATAAACGTTGAATGTCAAGTTATGATCTTACTAGTAATTTCATATTTCACGTTGTTACTCATTTGTATTTTAGTCAAGCTCTGTGAACCAAAACGAATTTCTTCTAAGGTAATAAAGTATTGTCTGTCTGTCCGTCTGTTAATCGAAGGCATCAACCACTAAGCTACCCCACCGCCCCACTTGACGACTGAAGGGATACGGTAGTCGTATTGTATATCATGCTTTATTAATAAAGACAGTTAACGTTTAATGTCCCGAAGGCATCTTTCCAGGCATAGAGCGAGGTTATATATGTATATACACATACATACATATTGGTCAAACCTATTATTTATAAATAACGGCAATACGTACATCAAAATACTGAATATGAACTATGGGATTTTATATTCGGAATGTGCCAACGAAATGGACAATTATGTTGCGTAGAATAATTCTTCCTTACCACACAGCACACTTGACCAGTCGGACAGTTGACACCGGCCAACGGGGCCTCTGGACACAAGTTGGGAGCAACGCAGGCGATGGTTCCTTGGTTTATGGGGCACGCTAAAAAACAAATTTTATAAATTGCAGTTCGCTCTAAAGGTGTGTTGATTAACTGGTGGATGGAATTAAATAGAAGGCCATATCACCGCAGACCGTATGTATTGACAAATATTGAGATTAATGTTTCACGTAGGTGTGTGTGTCAGCTGCCATAGTGTCCGTTACGTCTTCTGAAAAACTGTCGTAAATATCACACACAAAAGTAAGCATTCAATTTTTTCTCACTTATTGCTGTAGTTGTAGGCGTTGTCGTTGTAGGCGTTGTCGTTGTGGGCGTTGTCGTTGTAGGCGTTGTCGTTGTAGGCGTTGTCGTTGTGGGCGTTGTCGTTGTGGGTGTTGTCGTTGTTGGCGTTGTCGTTGTTGGTGTTGTCGTTGTTGGCGTTGTCGTTGTTGGTGTTGTCGTTGTAGCAACAGGTGTTGTTGTCAGTGGTGCCTTAACAACACAATACATTCATTAGACCAATTTGGGGCGGTGGGGTTGCCTAGCTATAGTGGTTAAAGCATCCGCTCGTCACGCCGAAGACCCGGGTTCGATTCCTTACATGGGTACAATGTGTGAAGCCCATTTCTGGTGTCCTCCGTCGTGATATTGCTGGAATATTGCTGGAATATTGCTAAAAGCGGCGGGAAACCATACTCAGGCATTAGACCAACTGATGTTGTATTTTGTAAAATTGACATATTCCTACAGAGTGATCTTAGAAGGGAAACACTTTCTGAGTCCACCGTCATGAGAAATACCGTTAACCAGGAACAAGGCTGACTGATAAGGAGTATATTTGGAACCTAATCGCTTCATCGAGTCACTGTTCTCGTGACCAGTTATCTGTGTTTATTTGGTTGATCATTTCACCCCCATTTGTGTCATTAAAAGTTTGGATCAGGTGTGTGCGCGGGCAACGTCTTTTGTAAGATGTTAATTGAGTCTTTTTTTTATAAGAGTGGATGTTTGAACTTTTTGAATACAATCTCGAGGAGTTAGGTATGCCGAAAGACTGTGTGCTGATGTAAAAGAATTCGTCAACCTTGTCTTGTTTGTTTGTGGGTTAGCGCCGTACTTTGCAACATAATATCGGTAATACCTGCTCTCAGCATTATCAGAATATTCCCACCCCTGTACATGGAAATATCATTACCTCAAATACAGTTTATGCTGAAACAAAATGGAATTTTCTTTTCTACGATTGCCAGTGACAGAATGACATGCTACTAGATATACTGGAAGATCACAGAATACCGGATACCTTCTGCCATCTTTGAAAACTTGAGAACTACACAAAACACGTGGGCAACTCGAGTTTTTAAAGCTTCGCTAGCTTAGTGTACATTTTTAGCCCTTGGATACCCCTTACTATTTTCTTTAGGGTTAGTTTAACGAATATAGTTAGGGTTTGGGTTTTCAGGCAATTTTCCCACGCTCATTCGCTCCAAGAATTCCGTAGGTCCGATTTTCCAAACATGCAGATATTTTTTATTTGTGATAACTTACCTTTCATTTTCAAAATCGTTGGTTAGTTTTACTAACCGGAAGTCGTCCCAAAAAATCCGATTTTATGGTTATTTTTTTTATTCTGATGCTTCCTTATGATTTCGAATTTTATAGCTCGTGCTTCCCTGGAATGCAAGTGCCCGTTACACTAAAGAATATGGCTGGTAGGTATCCGGTATTCTGTAGCTGTACCAAATATCCACAATATTTAGCTTTGCTAAATGTGAATAAAAAGAATGTGTGTGTGTTAATGACATAAGCAAGCATTTTGTCATGTATTTTCAACGAAGAGGGCCATAAACATCCAATAATGGAAAACAATATGTTAGTATTACTGTTGCGGAGTTTGGTCATTTTAGAAAGAGGGTACACAATGGTGGTCAATTCAAATGTTATTTTAGCATCACCATACATCTTCAAATACATTTTCTGGCTCTTTTTAAGCAGTTCATTATTATTGAACAAAGGTGTAAACATTTACACCCTAATCCTGGTTTACGAAGTGAATACTAATTAGGTACAAATATATACATAAATACCACTCTGTCTTGTGAGCAATTCACCGAGCAATTTATTGGGTGGTGCCTCTCTAAACTATAAGGTGGCTTATAAAATACAGGTGCATTTCATTCCGAGAGAAAATGAATTGAGAACTAAACGGCAAAGTATGTATAGAATTAAGGAAAGTCTTAAATCGTCCTTACTATGCAGCACACGTCACCAGCCGTCGGACAGACCACTCCAGGCAAGTTCAAACCTGGACACATAGCAGGGGCAACACAGTCGATGGTTCCTTCTCTGGGGCACACTGAAAAATTACATCATTTTGTTTGTTTGTTGTTTAAAGCCGGACCCGTGAAGACCCGGGTTAGAATTGATCTTCAGTAACCCGACTAACGGGATCGAGTTGTCAGGCTCGCTGACTTGGCTGACACTTGTCATCGTGTCCCAATTGCGTAGATTGATGATACCTGGATTGTCTGAAACCGATTCGATTATTTACAGACTGCCGCCATTTAGCTGGAATATTGCTGAGTGCGGCGTAAAACTAAACTCACTCACTCTTGTTTAAAGCCGCACTCGGCAATATTCCATCTATGTGACGGCCGTCTGTAAATAATCGTGTCTGTACCAGACAATCCAGTGATCAACATCATCAGCGTCAGCGGCCACCTGACCATCCCATCCCATGAGTGATTGGGCTTCCCACATTATACCCATGTGGGGAATCGAACCCGGGTCTTCAGCGTGTCGAGCAAACGCTTTAACCACAAGGCTACCCTCTCACGAGTCGCCTCTTACGACAAGCATTGGTTGCTGAAGACCAATTCTAACCCGGATCTTCACGGGTCAGACAATTACATCAAACTGCAGTTCCTTCCGAAGGTGTCCTGTTAAACTGATTGTTGGTATTCAACAGAAGGTCACTCAGTCTCTCTCTATAACATAGCCCTAACATCGCCGACCATGCATATTTCTGTTTGTTATGGTGCAAACCAGTATATGTCATCCTGACAACAATCATGTTTGTAATCAAACAAGAAACAATTAATAAGAGCAAAAGTAAAATTGCATATGTTCCTCACTTTGACCTGGAGTCGTTGTAGGCGCAGTTGTTGGAGGTGTCGTCAGTGGAGCCTTAGAAAAAAATATCACTTTTATCTGACATTCTTAATTTGAATGTTTAGCTTACACAATTTACACATTTCCTCAGAAAATTTATATTCGAATTACAAGTAACATAAGGAAACACCTGAACATTAGAAGAAGTATCGGGTAGAGGAAAAGATAGTACATTTAGGTATCACTTCATTCACAATAGTATCATATTTGACATAAGAACTGAGATGTGTTCACGTGCTTTTAAGTTGTTTTTTTCATCAGAACAATGAACTTCACATGACAAGCATTTGTGACGGTCGTCAGGATACGCTTACTCCTTTGCAAAAATAAGGTGTAATCGCTATTTGACTCGTAAACACATGCTCTTGATACAGTCGGATTCCTATTGGTGGCCTAACTCTATAGCCCAGTTTTATTTGAAAGCTTTACAAAGAGTTTCAGATATAAATCTGGAATCCTCTACTGTCCTTCCTTGACAGGGTTTAAATATTCCTTACTAAACAGCAGACGTCGCTGGCCGTCGGACAGGTGAAGGGGAACGACGTCCCTGGACATTGGGCACCGGTAACACAGGCGATAGATCCTTGTCCAGCAGGGCACACTGGATAATAAAAGTTGAAATCTGAGTTTCCACTTCAGATATGGTGTTGAAGAGATGGTTTAAAATACACTGAAACTCCTTCGTTGTCTAAAAATACAGTTAAAGATATTCTGCTATCACAGAAAGACTGTCAACTTTGAAATTTAACTGAAGACCACTTGATCCTTCAAAAAACAAGTGAGTGAGTGAGTGAGTGAATATTGCTTAACACCCAATAAGTAACTTTGCAGCATTTTTGGCGAGGAATGTCTTTTGTTTTACAATAAACTGAACGCAATAAAAGTGATGTTGAAAACCACTAAAATCAGTCTAATATCGCATGCGACGGTAAAATAATGATTTTTCTGATAAAACTACATTTTCCATTCAGTTTGATTTCTGTTAAATCGCTCAAATCAAGTGCTTAGACCTAAGAGGTTCAGATTAAGTGGGGACATCATCATAAAAACGTTGTCGAATATGTACAAAATCAAAACATTCAAGCAAAATGAGCTTCACAGTAATGGGTCTATGACAAGGGATACACTGTGGTGGATCTTCTCCTTTCAATACAAATGAAAGTGTATAATACTGCCTACTATATTATATTTGCAACGTGACATTCGGGCATATTTGATCCTTTTAGCTGTCAAGGACGTCGTCCAGTTGGGGATAGACAAGACAGTGGTTGATAGCATGAACGCAATCTTTTCTTACTTGGAGCTGGTGTTGTTGTTACGGTTGTTGTTGTCAGAGGAGCCTAAATGAAAATGAAAACGTTATTAGCTTACATTCGTTACATATAGTTTATACGTACCTTCACCAACCTTGCGAGAATATCTCTCTAAAAATTCAACGGAAATAAAAATTAATAGGCTTATTGTATAGAGCC